ACTCAGTGTGCAACTGCAATATGTAGGGAAAGTGAAAGTAACTCAGAACAAGTGGCAGGGTTCATGAGTTACCTTCACATTTGGGACGTTCTAGAGAGTTTGGTTTGGTGGCTCAGATATGAAGATAGTTAAGAGGATTTCCTCTTAATTTTTCTTTGAAGTACATGTGTTTTACACTTTTTCTTTCTTTACTCCTTAAAAATATACATGACGCACTATCAAAGGTCACTACTCTATTTACCAAAAACTTACGTTCACTACCCAACTACATGATCATTCTTTCAATATCCCGTAAATCGTTCTTAACTATTCTTCCATAACAAGCACATTCTCCCATGATTGAACGTGCTCTCCTAACAACTCCTAAAAAAGTGTTCTTCTTTCGTATAAATGTGAGAGCCTTAAAAGTTGAAAAAATAAGGATTAGAAACCCAGCAGAGATTATATTAAAAAGCTCTCGCAAGACTCTTCCACAGAGTCTTTCTATTCAATCCTTTCTCATTCACCATTATCTGCCGCTTTGTTAACCCTTTCTCATCTCTTGCCACCTGCCACTCAAAGCACTTGTGCTTTAAGGATTGCTTCAGTCTTCCTCTCTGCCGCCTCTAACGCATTCCGATTCACTCATTGCAACACGTCCTCTCCCTAACCAAAAGAACCCTCTATAGTATTTAATTAGATATTACAAATTTACCATACGATACATGATATATATATATATATTCATTTTATAGTATAAGATGTACGTATCATAGGATTATATTTTCTTATAAATTTAAATTTACTTAATTATTAAAAATGATTTTTTAGTTAAAACATAAAAATTATTTTTTTTAGTTTTAATTTTTAAAATTTAGATTTTAAACAAAAAAATAAAAAATTTTGAATTTCTTTTTTGACTTTATCATGTTTTTTAAGTTTTAATTAATAAATTAATTTAAAAATATGTTATTTAAATTTATATATTATTAATATAAGTATTATTATCATATTATTTGTTATACAAATTGTAAGATATGATACTAGTAGAAAAAATATATATATCTATATCGTATTTGATGATATATCAAAAATATATCTTACGATACATGATACATATCTTATAATATAGGAGGTATTGTACCAGATTATAAACTTAAAGACTTTAGAAAGCTGAAATACTTTCTTAATATTGAGATTGTTAGGTCTATTCAGGGTATTTTAATGTGCCAGACGAAATATATTCTGGAATTACTAGTTAGGTACTCCAATAGCTTACAAATGCAAATTGACTAAGCAATATGATGATAGTCAAGGGGCAGATGCTACTAGTTACAGGAAGCTTGTAGACAAATTATTGTGTTTTGATCTTCATAAGGCTAGATATAACCTATGCTTCACAGGTGCTGACTCAGCTCAAGGACAATCCCTCTCAAACTCACATGCGAGCAGCGTTGAGTGTTGCGATATTTTAAGAAAGCTCCTGGATAGGGATTATTATTACTACCAAATTCAGACTTGCAATCGAGAGCATATAGTGAGAGTGACCGGGCATGATTGCCCTGCAACAAGAAGGTCTAGCACCACAAGTGAAGCAGATTACAGGACCAATGACAGCGGCTTGCAGTGAAAGTATTTAGTCAACATTCTTGCTTAGAGATTTGGGAGTGAATTATAATAAGGCAGTGGAGTTGTTTTGTGATAACCAATCTGTCTTGCATATAAGCAAAAAATCCAATATATCATGAACATTGGAGAAAGTACTACCAGGTCTTATAGTACCTAGATGTGTGCACACAAAACTTCAGCTGGCAGACATGTTTACTAAGGGTTTGCAACATGGGCACCCAGTTTTATAGCTTAATCAGTAGGTTGGACATTCATAATATTGATGTACAGCTGGAGGGGAGTATAAGAAGTTTAACACATGATTTGTGCATGATACAGATGTTGTCGGTATTGGAAAGTTAATTAAAAAGTTTTGTTGACGAAACTGTGAAGCAAGTGTTAAGTTAAGAGGAGTTGACAGTAATTAAGCAATTAGCTAGTCAACTAAATTATGATTAGCTAGTTGTAAATCAGTGTAAATAGATTTCAACATAAATACTTGATTGTGATGATCAATTTAGTAATGAAACGTCCTCCAAATTAATGCACTTTCTTTCTGTTCTTCATTTCCAGATTATTTCATATTTGCAGAAGGTTGTGATCCACAGATGCAATTACCGGCAGGATAATTGGATTCTGTCAGATGTAAATAATTAATTATATGTTTTCTATAAGCTTTGGTGACAACCCTATTGTCGTTTTCTAATTAATTACAGCAAACTAGCATCCTCTCAAATCTCACCAGTTTGCCCTTTTCAAGGTTGTCCACTTCCCCTGCTCTGCTCCAATGGCTGAAGCTGGTTCAGCCTCTGTCATGGTGCCTGAACGAGCAAAGCTTCATATCGCCATGATAGTTTTCCAGCTTGGTTATGCCGTCAATCATGTGATTATGAGAGTTGCTCTGAACATGGGTGTAAGCAAGCTAGTTTTCCCCTTTTACAGGAACATCTTAGCCCTGCTTGCCCTGGCTCCCTTTGCATATTTCCTAGAAAAGTAAGTAATTAATTTCAGTAAAAGATCAGGAATCTTTTCCCAATTGGGTTATGTTTTCTTCACAATTTTATTTATTCTTTCTTTGCTGTGCAGGAATAAAAGACCAACCCTGACCATTTCTTTTCTGATACAGTTCTTCCTCCTGGGATTTATTGGGTATGAAGAATGAAACCATTTGTAAACACAATTTCCCATTTTTGTATTGATGAATCATGTTGTCAAAATTACCATTTCTGGTTTTCTGTTTTGGCAGAATAACATTGAATCAAGGGTTTTACATATTTGGCTTAGACAACACATCGCCTACATTAGCTTCTGCTACGGAGAATTCTGTCCCGGCTGTGACTTTCTTCATGGCTGCCTTGCTCAGGTCAGAAACTTACTATCAGAATCCTAGAACTGGCTTTCCCTTGTTACTCCCCTCAATTTGTAAAACGAATTGTGTTTCCTTGCAGAATGGAACAAGTGCACTTAAATCGTAAAGCTGGAATGGCTAAGGTGCTTGGAACTCTTGCTTCTGTCGCTGGAGCCTTGGTCATAACCCTCTACAAGGGGCCAACTGTTTACAGTCCAAATTCACCTTCAGATAAGTCAGAATTTTTCTCCTTTGGAGATGCCGAGGGGAAGAACTGGACCGTCGGTTGTCTCTGTCTCATCGGGCATTCCCTTTGTTGGTCAAGCTGGATCGTTTTACAAGCTCCAGTCCTGAAGAAATACCCAGCTCGGCTCTCATTCGTTTCTTATTCTTGCTTTTTTGCTGTTATCCAATTTGGGGCAATCGCAGCATACATCGAAAGAGACTCCCGAGCTTGGCAGGTCAACTCTGGCAGTGAAGTGTTCACTATTTTCTATGCGGTTGGTAACCTTTGAACTGACGGTTTGAACCTTCCAATTTGGAAGTCCCTGTTTCATTTCAGAGAAAATGATGGTGGAAAAGTTTTGATGGGTGCAGGGCTTGATAGGTTCGGCAATGGTGTTCGCAATACAGATATGGGTTGTCGATCGAGGAGGTCCATTGTTTGTCTCGATGTATCTGCCTCTGCAAACCTTACTTGCTGCTGTAATTGCCACTGTTACTTTGGGTGAAGAATTCTACTTGGGTGGGTAGGTCTCGACATCCAAAATACCCATTAGTTTCTTACTCCTGAAGATCTAGTCAAGCATCCATGCCTGCAAAGATACTTGCTTCAATACCACAATTTTTGAGTTTGGATTGATTGCTTGATTTACATTCTTATGTTTACTGGTAATTGAATTTTCCAGGATACTTGGAGCAGCATTGATTATATCTGGACTGTATCTGGTTATTCTAGGAAAGAGTAAAGAGAGCAAGCTTGTGTCAGAAAAGGATCCGATTTACTCTGTGCCTGAGAACAATCAAGTGGAAGATCCAGGCGAATCCTCCCTCACCCAGCCCTTGCTTCCTGCCCCTGGAAAGTAAATTCCCCAGTTTCATGCCCTCAGCTCCATTCCAAGTTTGCTACCAGAATCTGTTATCTGGTCCAGATGGATGCCACCAGGATATAAGACATAGTGGTTGGTCACTGCTACTCAAAGCAATACACCAAAACGAATGGAAGGAGTTGGGGAAGACAAGCAAGAAACTTGGAGTCTAAACTGTCATGGTCATCGTTCGTCAGAGATGACATATGATTATGCCTTCCAAGGTTATTTTAATAATTGAAGAAACTCAGAAGGCGCCTTCTGTGAGCTCTAATAGCCATCTTTTTGTTTTTGGTTTATTTGGCCAAAAAACAAAACTAGTTTTTGGAGCATGCTTCTGATGTTGGATTAATTATATTATTATTATTGCATTAAGGTTGCTCATAAGCCTCATTTACTACATACAACAATACCCCTTTCTATTTTTTGTTGTTTAATAATGAAATTTTAGTTGAATGATCAAATCCGCAAACCTTAGTCCATCCAAAATGAGAGTTACTCGTAATTGATAATATATCCGAGGAAGGTAAATTTCAGAGACTTTTTATAATTTAAATTTTTATGAATATTTTTTTGTAATTAACAGTCCACTAATAATTTCTGTGTTGTAAGTAAGGTTTACCAGTCCATTACAATAATTAATTTAAAGTTTCATTTGTGGACATTTCTGTTTTTTCAAAAGCTCCGACATTAAATCTTTAAATGGTTGGCTTTTGTTAAATTTTTAATTTTATAAAAAATTAAATTATTAATTTATTAAATAAAAAAATTAAAATATTTTTTATTTAAAGTTAATTTATTTGTTCATATTTAAAGATGTGGTAAAATTAACAGTTTGACTTTTTTATAGAAACAAAAATTATTTATAAAGTGTTAATTCAGAAAAAAAAATCATAAGGTGTTAATTAAAAAAATAAAATTCTATATGGAAAAATTGAAAATATTAAACAATCTACATGATACATAAATCCTGAACCGGTGCGGTACAATGAAAACCTTAGGCTGGGCAATCACATTCCAGTATCCAAACATACGAACAAATTTCAGAGAGGAGTTGGGGACCTTCTTTTTTACCATCGCTGGGGCGCGCATCCGATTCCTCGACTCTCCGCTGGATCTGCGTTTCTCTTCCCGACAAAGGTACGCTTTAATCTCTCCCTCTTCGAATCTATTTACGGAGCTCTATTTTTGGATTTCGAATCATTATGCTTTATCATTTGCTGGAAAACTCTCTCGTTTACCTTGATTCAACCCTATAGATGATTGATAGGAGAATTTGTAACAAATTTGAAAGCGTGGTAGGAATAATCAATGTGGGTTTCATGGAAATTGCAACTTTTGTACTAATTTTAATGGTGTACTTGGTTTTATTTCTTTGGCAACTTAGGACAGTGGAAAATGGAAGAACATGTAGATTCTGATCACCAGCTAATGGTTGAGGGCGGTTTGACTTTTCCACGTAGTATGCAAATTGATCCCAGAAGACAACGGTTTCCGTGCTGCATTGTTTGGACACCTCTACCTGTTCTCTCATGGTTGGTTCCTTTCATTGGCCACGTTGGCATTTGCAGAGAAGATGGGGTTATTCTAGATTTTGCAGGGCCTAATTTTGTCTGTGTTGACAATTTTACTTTCGGGGCAGTGGCTCGCTATATCCAAATCAACAAAGATAAGGTATACATGTTCATGTTCCATCTCTTTTTACAGAGGAAAATGACATGATCTTTTTAACTGGATTAAGAATTCCCAAGTAGGATTTCTTAGTTCTGTTCTTGAGAATTGGCATTAGCTTGGGCTGTTGTGCTTTACCTTGTATGGGGATTTGATAGGATAGAATTCTAATAGGCTGCACGATGTAAAGTCTTGAGCTTTTGATAATTTCTAAATGCTCTATGCTAGTTGTGAGGGTAGAAACCTTTTGATTATTGGTAGCTAAGGATGGTGTCAATGGCAGGTTCATGAATGCTCTTTGGTAGATGTGAGAGCAAAAATTTCAAGTATTAATAGCTGAGAAATGACAGTAATTGCATGGAAGCCAGCGTTTCTGCTTGAGTATTTCTTTCTTAATCATTCTTCCTCAGTTAGACATATGACCTTTCGAGCTTTTGCCAGGAATGCTGCATTTCTCCTCATCCCTCTGCATTTAAAGGAGAGCCAGAATACCAGCATGATGATCCTAGGAGAGAGACATTAACATGGGACGACGCACTACAAAAAAGCACGCAAGAGTTCCAGCACCGCTCATACAGCCTTTTCACTTGCAATTGCCATTCATTTGTAGCAAACAACCTGAACAGGTTAGGCTTTCATTCGGGTGGGTGGAACGTAGTGAACCTTGCCGTCCTTATCTTCCTCAAGGGCTGCTGGGTGAGCAAATCAGCATTCCTGCGATCTTTCTTGCCATTTGTCATTGTATCCGTTCTCGGACTTGCCTTTGGTGGCACTACATACTTGACTTTCTTGGCCCTCTTCGCATTTCTCCTTGTTGGATGGTTCCTTCTCGGCACTTACTGTTTCAAAAGTTTAATCCATTTGTAGCTTTTAAACATTATCCAACTCTCCATCTCCATTTATGTATAAGATCTGTTTGCTATATCCATATGCTTATGCTCAATCGAGATTCGTACGCTATTACAAGGAAGTTATCTTCTTCGTGCTCTTCTCATGATAAATGAATACTCTGTAATTAGACAAGGGTTGTTGCCGATCGAGCTTTATTCCAACTCTTGCACATATGTTTTCCAGTCCAGTACATAGAATTAAGGGAAATATTTTTGATTCGAAGGTAGGGGTGTCCATTTTCCTTAACAAATTTGGTTATGCCCTTGGGCCTAGGTAGATGATTTCTCCTAAACCCAAGGTCTTTTTGTACTTAGGGAAAATCAAATACTTCTGTCCATAACCTAAATATAGATTATTTCATTTTACAAAATGTTCAATGATATAAACCGATACTTAACATTAATATTTGATTCCATGATAAGTGTATATATATTTTTAATTAAAAAGTCAAGTTTAAATCCGTTTTCTTCAAATGAATTATGAAACTTAACTCAATACGAAAGGAATCTACTATTTTGTTTATGATATGATTATCATAAACTATTAAATTTTTTATAAAATTCTTTTATAAATTCTAAAATGGAATCATACGTGTGAAAAATATTGAGATATATATTAAATGTGGAAGGTAGTCCTATCCAACTAAGAAAAGGGTATCTAAGAATATTCTAATTTTTTTAATGTTCAAGTTGGAATTCTTCTTTGGAGAAGGTTATGTGCTTGATTATTGATTAAGTTATGCACCAATTAAGTATATACTAATTGATGCTTACCTTATCAAGTTATAATGCCAATTTAATGTCAATTACTAATCCTTTGAAAAGTTCCTCCTTTTTTTAGAAAAAAAATTAATTTTTATGAAATTGAGAAAAGTCCTTTCCTAATTTAAAACTTTTGGGAGAGAAAAAAAAAGAAAAAACACTCATTAATATATTATTTCATTTAAAAAGAGAAGATAGGAAGCGGGCGTCCACACACTAAGAAGCAAATTCCAAGACCGATAACTACCAATCCGATAGAATCGTAGCATCATCAAAATTGACTACTTCAGTGATTTACATAATCCGACGGCTGAAAAAGTAGGGCGTTTAAAACATATACCTGAGAAATGTCAACTGGAACAAAACTGCTGGTGGTTGGGAGTTTGGTCATCTTGCTGACGTCGCAGGAGAATCTCCGTACATGTCTCCATCTGAGATGGCAAAGTCGTAATTACAACAAAACTATAGGGCCTAGCGCATTCCCATAAGCCGATTTGCTTATGATTTAAAGAGCCCCAGAAAAGAGAAAAGAGTTGTTCAAAGCCAGAGAAAAGCATTTCTTGCGTGAGAATCTGTTTGGTCAGATAATTTTCCTTTGTGAAGAGTCTAAAGCGAAAATGGCGGCAGAGGAAGGACAAGTAATCAGTTGCCACACTGTTGAGTCATGGAACGAGCAGCTTCAGAAGGGCAATGAATCCAAGAAGCTGGTAATTCGTTTTTTATTTTTCAGGGTCTTTTTTTTTCCCTTTTTTTTGTGGTTTTTTTAGCATTAGATTTATGATTATTTTTATTTTTTAAGATGATGGGTCCGATCTATTTTCTTTAAATATGTTTTCTTTTGCTTG